ATGCTGTTGAAAAAAAGCAAACATGATTCTGGGATGCATTAACAGGAGTGTTGTGAACAAGACACGAGAAGTCATTGTCCAGAGAAGAGCAACAAAAATTATTAAAGGTTTAGAAAACATGACATATGAGGGAAGATTGTCAAAAAGTGGGATTGTTTAATCTGGAAAAGAGAAGACAGAAGGGACATGATAACAACTTCCAGGTATCTAAAAGATTGTTACAAGGAGGAAGGAGACAAATTCTTCTTCTTCATCTCTGATGACCGGACAAATTTCCTTGGCTTAAATTGCGCAAAAGAGGTTTCGGACATTAATAAAAACTTCCTGTCAGGATGGCTTAATCATTAGAATAAATTGCCTAGGGAGATTGTAGAATTATTTGAGAATAATATCTCATTATTGGAGATATTTAAGAGCAGGTTAAACAAACGCCTGTGAGGGATGGTGTAGATGGTGCTTGTTCCTGCCATGAGTGCATGGAACTGAACTCGACCTCTCAAGGTTCCTTCCAGTTCTGTGATTTATGACTTGGCCTAATGAGGCTGATCAAACTGTATGCTTGTTCTGATATGAAGCTTTGTTTAACTTGTAACCACAATGGGGTCTTGAAAGACTGCTTCTGCCAGACACCATGTTAGAGATATAGGTGAACCCTCCAAGGGCAGATTGGCCCGGCGGGATACTGGGAATTTCCCGGTGGGCCGTTCTGCAAAGGGCTGGCTGGAGGCTGCTGGAGGAGGGAAGGGACAAAGGGGACCGGCACATTGCCAGGGGTGACATTCCAGCCTGAGGAGGAGCAGGCGGGGAGTCCTGCAGAGGCCGCCCTGAGCTGGGAGCCCCGCGCCTGGCTGCTCAGAGCCTGCACCTGGCCCCAGAGTGCTACTGGGGCGCTTTCTGGAGGGCTGCTTCTGGTGACGTCAGCAGGGTCCATGCCTCAGGCCTGCCTTTCTTCGCCTTCGAGTGAGCAGTGGAAGGATCTACTGACAGGCAGGTTGACGTAATCTGCAGCTAGCAATAGCCTGGCCCAGTTTCTATTTAATGTCAGGCTTTCTTCGGAGACTGGTGGAATGAGAAGCAGCTAGGACGATGTAAACGCCTCATTACCCCTTCAGCTATTCATCCCCATGCCCATCTGTGTAGTTTCTAAGCAGTCAGATTCCAGGTTTTAACTAGTTTGTAAATTTCCGTTTCTACACGCTTTACCCATCCACTCATGATTTTTTTTAATTACAGCATTTTAATTCCTTTCTCTGTTCAGCTGTTAAAATGCTGAGATTCATATCTTAGTTTTATGAGCTTTTCCCTTTTTTGGGCTCATGAAGTTTTCTGTTTATCATGAAATGTAAGAGTGGAATATTAATCCATTTCCGTTTAGTTCTGTAATGTCAGGAATTAACAAAAAAAATGGACTGGAAGAAAAAAAACCCTGCACCCCACCTCCTGACCCACTGCAACCCTGCTGGAACCCCGTCTTCTCTTCTTCCCCCACCCCCCTGCCCCTGCCTCCCACCTGGATCCCCCTCTCCTAGTCTGGCTCTCTAAACAATTCCCCTCCCCCTACTCTCAGGGCCCTGAACCTCCCCCCCCACACACACACACGCACCTGCCCAGGAACCCAGCCCCCTTGTGCTGTGTCCTGAAAACTTCACCCCTACCTGGGACCCAGGTGATTCTCCCTCCCCCTTTGTCTGAGGAAGGGGAACTCTGGTGTTTCCAGTGCCCATGTCCCCAAGTCCCTTCCTGTCTGGGGCAGGAGAGCTTTATTAAAATTGGAATTGTGATCCCATTTCAATAGGTTTTGTTTTAAATATATACCTTTAAAATTAAATTAAAAATTGTTATGGCCTAAATTTATCATAACCTATTTAAATAACTTATTAATTAAATTTAAAAATTAAATAGAACATGTCTCCTGTCAACTTTTAAAGAAATTCTACCAGTTCACTAGTGTAGGCTGCTCTGTAAGCATCCGGAACCAGTGTTTACATCAGCAGTAGCTTCTTCTGTAGGTGAAGAGAGAATGTTTTTATCACTTTGGTTTATTCAGCTAGTTCAATTCAATGATTAGTTCATTCACTGTTGCAAAACCAAGAGTTGACGAAGCAGAAAAACTTGTTTTCCTCTTCTCTCAGTAAAAAACTGGTTATGAGAGTGTTCTAACATCTTGAAGAACATGACTAGAATGGATCTGTTAAATTCACTATGGATATTTCCTTTGTTTAATAAATGAATTTTAGATGCAAAATGTGTTTGGATACTTTTTTGTTATGTGTCCTTCACATTTAAGGTAGTTTTATTTCATACAAAAATTAAATGCTGGTTTTGTTTATTTTATATAGAATTTCTGTCCAGACAGAAGTAGATGCAAATCATATGTTTTTTAAAAAGTAACCACCACGTAGCAAATAATAAATGGGGTAAAACCTTGTCTCTTAAGTGTTCCTATTATACACCATTTTATAATAGAATAAAAATGTAAAAATTAAGAATCTGATTACATGTAAGTTACACAATTATTTGGGCATTTATTTAGTTGGTAGCTGGACTGAGTGTATTCTCCTGGTTAGTAAATAGAAGAACCAAATTTGGCATAAAGGTTATATTTACTTGTAAATCAACATGTTTTAAAGGTTGCTAATCAATAAAACTCACCATCCTTTAGGAAAATATTTTAAAAGTATAATTTAAATGATTAAGTTTATTTCGAAATAAGCTCAAAATAAGCAATGCAATTTGTGTAGCTCAAATGCATAGCTTAGTTTGAGCTAAGGATGCAGTGTAGTAGCATCATTAGTGACCTGTATGGAGGAATTTGATATGATTGGCTGAAGAACTGTATATAATAACAGTTGAAAAACAGTTGCATATTGGAAAAAATAACCCCTAACTATACATACAGTATGATGTGACTAATTTGGCTACAACAAATCAGGAAAGATCTTAGAGTTAACACGGATAGTTCTTTGAAAACTTCCACACAGTGTGCAGCAGCAGTCAAAAAGGCAAATAGGATGTTAGGAATTATTAAGAAAGGGATAAAAAATAATACAAAAAATATCTTACTGCCCCTATATAAAACTATGGTACGCCCATATCTTGAATACTGTGTACAGATGTGGTTTCCTCACCTCAAAAAAAAAATATTTTGGCCTTGGAAAGGGTTCAGAAAAGGGCAACTAAAATGATCAGAGGTTTGGAACAGATCCCATATGAGGAGAAGTTAAGTGACTGGTACTTTTCAGTTTGGAAAAGAGGAGACTGAGGGGGGATATCATAGAGGTATATAAAATCACGACTGGTGTGGAGAGTCCCATATGAAGAGAGGCTAAAGCGACTGGGACTTTTCAGTTTAGAAAAGAAGAGACTGAGGGGGGATATGATAGAGGTCTATAAAATCATGAGTGGTGTGGAAAGGGTGAATAAAGAAAAATTATGTATTAGTTCCCTAAATAGAAGAACTAGAGGACACCAAATGAAATTAATGGGTAGCAGGTTTAAAACTAATAAAAAAAAGTTCTCCTTTCAGACAATACATAGTCAACCTATGGAACTCCTTGTCAAAGGAGGTTGTGAAGGCTAGGACTATAACAGAGTTTAAAGAGAAGCTAGATACATTCATGGAGGTTAGGTCCATAAAAGGCTATTAGCCAGTGGGTAGGAATGGTGTCCCTGGCTTCTGTTTGTCAGAGGCTGGAGATGGATGGCACGAGACAAATCGCTTGATCGTTGTCTTCAGTCCACCCCCTCTGGGGCACCTGGCGCTGGCCACTGTTGGCAGACAGGCTGCTGGGCTAGATGGATCTTTGGTCTGACCCAGTACGGCCGTTCTTATGTTCTTATTACACACCATTTTGTAATAGAATAAAAATGTAAAAATTAAGAATCTGATTACATGTAAGTTACACAATTATTTGGGCATTTATTTAGTTGGTAGCTATACCAAATGTATTCTCCTGGTTAGTAAATATAAGCACCAAATTTGGCATAAAGCTTATATTTAGTTGTAAATCAACATGTTTTAAAGGTTTCTAATCAATGAGACTCAACCATCCTTTAGGACAATATTTTAAAAGTATAATTTAAATGATTTATTACTCATTTAAACCAAGGTTTTCTGATTGCCAATTTAAATCATGATTAAAATTAGAGATTTAAATCAAAGTTCTTTAAATCAATCCACCCTGCTTCAGAGGCTGTTTGGTACTCCCCTAAAGGAGAAAGCATAGGGCTGTGCTCATGGAATAGGTCCTAAGGCTAGTGGGGTTTTGTTGTCTGGTGCCTGTCTTATTCTGGACAGTTGAGCTGGGGAGTTGAAACAAAAGTTCTCTCAATCCCTTTGAACTGTCTCATTGTACAGTGAGGAAGATTCTTGTCCATGGACACCAAGAGTTGGACAGCTTATGTGTTGGGGTTGGAGTCTGAGTGATTATAAGGCTTCTAATAATAAAATCCCTTTGCAGAGTGAGGATTGAGACCGGGACTCCAGCACTAGGTGATGTGAACAGCTGCATGCTTTGGAAGTCTTTAACTGACTTGCTGTGGATGAACCTGCCCTCCCATTGTTCTCATGTGGGGAGTCTCTGGCGCTCTGCTAGGAGATGAAAATGCCCTGGGGTTTGGGCTCCCCCCAGAGCACGTGCCCCACCCCCCAGGAAGCCGCACAAGCTGCATTTGCGCACGCACCCTTCCCAGACAAGAAAGGGGGGGGTGGCCAAAAAATGTTTTGCTTGGGGTGGCAAAAAACGTAGAGCTGGCCATGGACACAGGGAAAGGGGGAGGAGCACACAGGGGTGACGTCATGAGGGCCATTCTCAATCCATTTCTCGGGCCTATTTTGATTGCCAGTCCGCCCCTGAAACTCGCATATGCTTCTTAGGGTGCATAAGGGTTCTTACATTGTTTAGAATGTTTGTTCTGTAGTGCTTTTACCTTCAGAATAAAATAGGCTTACAAAGAAAGAACCTGGGTACTTAACTATTGCAGTTACACCTGATACCAACCTCTGAAAAGAAAGCATGCAAATGTTCCTGGGCAGTCTGTCTGCGACCGGATCGGCACAGTGAAGGCTGGGAACTATGCAACCTGGAAATACTCTAGACAAAAGGAGTGAGATAAAGATCTTTACCCAAAATGCAACAGCTAGGAAACTGGAAGCCTGACGCTAGATACTCTGGCTGGACTCTGAGGGAAAATACAGGTGCAGTTCCTTTGTTCTGTGCCAGTAATTATCTTACAGTTCTATGAGTGCTAAACATTTTTGTAGTGCAAACTTCATTTCAATGTACATTCTAGTTCACTTGTACACCTGAAGCAGCATAAATAACAGTGATAACACTCCATACAGACTGGTACTGAAATAGAATCCGACCAAAGACATGGCATTCGTGGTTTTCATCTCTCCCACATTCTTATACAAACTGAACCTAATGTAAAAGATAGTGACTGCTGATGGTATCAGTGTTAGCAGTTATTATTGTCACTGTCTTAGCACACAGAGGAACAGGATGGCCTATTGGACAGGCTATTACTCTGATACTTGAGAGGCCGGGGTACAAGCCACAGGCTTCCTTGGCGACTCAGGGCAAGTCACATAATTTACCTTGTGTGTTGGATCCCCATCTATAGACCAGGAATTATGGTTTCCTATTGTAGAAGGAGATTGTAATGATCAAATCCATTTGTAAATGTACTCAGATACTAAAGTGATGAGTGTTATCTAAGCAGGTAAATACGTACCTCACCCCCAGACAATGGTCCCATTGTGCAAGTACATATGCCTGGGGAGAACTGACCATCTTCAGAGATATGCAGAGGGACATTATTAGCCTCATTTTGACAGCTGGAGAACTGAGACACAGACCAAGTGGCCTGCCTTAGGTACACAAGAAGTACACTAGACCTCCAGAGCCCCAGTCAGTGCCTATACCACAAGAAATTCTTCCTCTAGATTTCGTTATATAATAAAATTCCAGGATTGTTACTTCGTGTGTCACTCTGAAGCCTAGAATGTCTGAGTCACTGTGAAGTGATAATAACAGCTACAAGCATGGCTGAGAGCTTTCTTTGTTTCGAATGTCATCAGGTTCAATTAATAATGGGGTTTCTGGTCTGTGGTTCTTGGCCACTGTAATTTTACAAATTATATCCATGCAATGAACAGCTATAATAAGGTATGTATTTATGCCATGCCAAGAGTCCTATACCATTGTGATGTCACAGGTAATTCAACCATTGCCATGCCTACTCTACAATTAGTTTGTATGCAATCATTTCATTGGTTGTACCAGGGAAACTGCACAGATTGTGGATTATTTGGCCCAACTACCCTATAAGTGTGACAGCATGTCTTTCTGATACTTATATTTTACTGATATAAGGACAAAGAATGTAACAAGTCAATATCTAGTAGCCACAGTGAATGTTTTTGCTATTAACTGTTTAATAATAGTGTTTAATAATTACAATAAGAGTACATCAGGCTGGGGAATGATTCCTTGTTTCGCCTCTATTGTTTTATGTAAACAGTTTTGAATGAAAAGCCTCCTAACCAGTATTTAATCCAATAGAATTAGAAAAGCAACACATTCAGAAAGCTGTAATCACACACAAAAAATTACTGCATCTCTATATTAACTCAGAAGTTTGGCACTGGCACTATCAGCAGAAATACACTGCAACAGGGTTAGAGGGGGAAGTCTAGTGGGAATTTCCCTCCTCCAGAAGTTCTGTGGCAAGCTCAGACCTACCAACCAGCATAGGCAGATGCTGAGAGGGACAAAGTAATCCCAGGATTATAGCTGGTGCCTGGAAAAACCCTAAGCCATGGTTCTCTTTAGGACCCTTAAAGAGCCTCATCATGCAGGGTGGGATAAGCCTCCTCTCTCTGAGCTAGTCAGGGAAAGTTCAGGGAAGATGGACAGCATAAAATCTGCCTCTTCCCTCCTGAAAGCAGACACTCACGTAAACAGAGGACTGCTTGCTGGTGAATCTTTCTCAGACCAAGGAGACCGACCTGATCTGCCTCTGAACTGTGGAGCATAGGGAAAACCACACTCCATCAGAAATGGTGGAGGAGAAAAGGATGTTTTCCTGTGGAAGGATTCTGTCAGCTGGGAGACGCTGGCTTGCAGCTGTAGCCTGATACAGTAATTCCTCATTTAACACGTGCCTGCTTTACACGTTTTTGCGATAGCATGATTTTTTGGGGGGAACATTTTTTGAATTACACGACTGTTCCCAGAATAACACAATTTCCCCAGCCGGCCCGTTGCCGGCGGCTGCGCAGGGCTTCCCCTGCCTCCGTGCACAGCGGCGGAGGGTTCGCTGCTCGCTGCGCCATTCCCCGGAAGACCCGTCACAGAGGCATACTCCCAACCCAATCCCTCTCCCCTCTCCTCCCCTTCCGTTCCCCAGAGCCAAACACCTCCCCTCCCTGCTGTAACCCAGTCCCCTTTCTTCCCCAACCTTATGTCCCAGTCCCAACAGACACCACTGCTTGAAATGCAACTCCCACCTTTTCCATTATTTTCAATGGGAAAATTGACCCCGCAATAACACGTTTTCACTTAACACGATAATTTTCTGAAACGTATCTATAGTGTTAAATGAGAATTACTGTTCAAGGATAATGGTACATCCAGGCTTGAGGACGGGGTGGGAACAAGGAAAGCAGTTGCCTCAGGGCTTGGCGATTCAAATGGTCCTGGGGCTCCAGGCTGCCGCTACTGCTACTGCTACAGTGGCAGCAGCTGAAGCCCTGGGCCCTTTCAATCACCGCTAGAGCGTAGTACCTTGCTCTATGCATGGCTCCTATGGTTGAGGGGGCAGCATGTGGAAAATGCTGAGGGTGGCTGCCCCATCCCTGCCCCCTCTGCCCAAGACCTCATCCCTTCCCGGGGCATAGAGCTGCTGCTCCCCGTCTTTTTCTCCCTCCCGGGGGCCCACAGAAGCCATCGCTCCCAGGTCACATCACTAGTGATAAGGCCTTATTGACTTTATTGAGTATGAACCCTTCAAGTATGCATTCCTCTTACAGTTTGCCAGGATGGAAATATACATGATGCACTCTGGAGTCTCAGGAATGGAGAGGAGTGCAGCATGTGCGTGGAAGGGAGAATATATCCCCAGAAAACACAGAAAGAATCTTCCATTGGCCCATATCTATCTACCAGATGTTTTCATGCCATTTTCTTTCAGCCTACTCAATGTAGTTATGCTGTTTCCCCTATGAAAACGCTATGTTGCACATATATCTCAAAAAATATGGTCTTCAGTATTGGAATAAATAAAGAGTAGTAGCCACCAGTGCAGTACAGTGAGTGTTAAATCATTTCAGGTTTTCAGCCGTCGGGGCAACTTCCAGGAGCAGCTGGAGATGCAAAGTGACTCTCTGTAAGCACTTGGGATGGTGTTTGTAACGAACTAAAGGGAAGTAAATGATGATACCACTGAGAATGAATAGGACGACATAGAGAAACTCGATCTGGGGTTGGTCGATGATTGGCGCCAGCACCAGGTACACAGACGCAATCAGCACAATTATTGGTATAATAATCGGAACCTGTGAAAGCAAAACGTCTCTGTAAGAAACCAAACATACCCTGGGCCTGACCCTGTGAAGTTCTGAATGCCCTCACCTCCCACTGCACAGCACCTTCCAGGAGGCACTCAGCACCTTGTAAACCTGGGCCTTTATTCACAGACTCTTCAGCCAGCCATTAAACCTGTGTGCACGTGAGCTAGGTACACTGAGGTTTACAAACACAGAACCACAAATCATATAATGGTGTAATTTAAAAAGGGATAGAGAATAAGACAGAGAATACCTTATTGCCTCTATATAAAACCATGGCACGCCCACATCTTGAATATTGCATACAGCAGGCCTGGGCAAAATATGGCTTACGGGCCAGATCCGGCCCACCAAGCTACCAGACTCGGCCTGTGGAGGTATCAGGGAGCCCCAAGAGGCTCCTCTGCTTGCCCAGCAGCCCCATGCGCTGTGCAGAAACATGGCTGCAGGGCTGCATTTCTGGTTTAAAACTGGAGGGGAGGGGGGAAGTTTCAGGTGCCACCTCATCCCCAGCACAATCCTATTGTCCAGTTTCTGGCCAGAAACTGGCCAATGGAAGCTGCTTGTTGGAATAACAGGCAGCCAAGAAGAACCACGCGCCCTCTCCTCAGCTCAGTTATTCACTGAAACACATGGCCAGGCAAGCAGGCAGTCTGGGAAACATTTTAAGCTCTGCAGGCAGGCGGGCTGGTTTGGCAGCGGCCAGCCACAGCCTGCTTCTGGCACCCCAGCTCTTTCTGCCCACTCAAAATACCCAAACTCTCTGTCCCCCTCTTACACTCCTACCCCCTCCCTTATCTGGCACCCTAACCTCTTGCCCCAGATCACAATACCCTCCTATGCTAGGTCACATCCCAAACCTCTGCACTCCAGTCCCCTGCCCTAGGTCACAACCGCCTCCTTCATCTAAACTCCCTCCCAGACTCCAGTCTCTCTCCTGCATCCCAATCCCTTACCCAAGCTCCCTTCTGCACCCATCCCAGACCCTGAATCTCTTCCATTAATATCATGGAAGAGTGCAGTCCTTGACCACTTTCCAAAATCTTGGAGTGGCCCCCCCATCAAAAATTATTGCTCAACCTTGGCATACAGATATGGGCGCCTCAACTCAAAAACGATATATTGGTATTGGAAAGGGTTCAGAAAAGGGCAACAAAAATTATTAGAGGTTTGGAACAGGTCCCATATGAAGAGAGATTAAAAAGACTGGGACTTTTCAGCTTAGAAAAGAATAGACTAAGGGGGGAATATGATAGAAGTCTATAAAATCATGACTAGCGTGGAAAAAGTGAATAAGGAAAAGTGATTTTCTTGTTCCCATAATACAAGAATGAGCGGTCACCAAATGAAATTAATAGGTAGCAGGTTTAAAACAATCAAAAAGAAGTTTTTCTTCACACAGCGCACAGTCAACCTGTTGAACTCCTTGCCAGAGGATGTTGTAAGGACCAGGACTTTAACAGAGTTCAAAAAAGAGTTAGATAGATTCACGAAGGTTAAGTCCATCAGTGGCTATTAGCCAGGATGGATAGGAATGGTGTCCCTAGCCTGTTCGGAAACAGATGACAGGAGAGGGATCATGTGATGATTGCCTGTTGTGTTCACTCCCTCTGGGGCATCTGGCACTGGCCACTGTCGGCAGACAGGATACTGGGCTAGATAGACCTTTGGTCTGATCCAGTATGGCCATTCTTAGGTGTCTGACTGATCACTCGTGCTTGCAGATGGGAGGGTTTGCATGTGTAACATGGACAGACTCCTGTAGTCAGCAGGCAGGACCAAACCCAGGACATCTGAAACTTAGTGTATGAGCCTCTGCTGTGTGAGCTAAAAGCCATGGGCTTTTTAGCTAAGTCTGTGGCAGACTCATTCATCTCTAGAAGGTCTAGGGTGCTACCACAAGGGAGACATAGCATTACACCAAGCAGGCATGGCTTGCACATGCATTGATTGGTGGATGCCTAAGTAGCCTATTCTGTAATCTTGGCCTTAAGACTATAGTAAAACTTAAATGTAAATTACATTTAAATTAAATATTTCACCAAATACCTGTAAAAAACCAAGAGGGAATAATCTTGCCATGACAGGGAGATGGGCTAGATGTCCCAGTTGTTCTTTTCCATCTTGAATGTCTGTGATTCCCTTCTGAAAGTAGGGTATCAAACTGCCCAAGGCAATGGTGGCTAATACAGAGATCATGGAGCAGACCCGCCTCCACCAATCTTCCCAGCCTTCCTCTCAGCTACACTGCTCTGCCTGCTCAACGCAGCTCCAGCCCTTCTGGCAAAACTCAAATAAAAACTCTAGTTTTATTTTAGGTGTGAAGATGTTTCTCTTGCAGATATTGCTGTGTCACGAGGACAGATCCTTCTATGGCCACTGCCATGTTAGGGGGTTGCAAGAGTTAATGACGTGAGCTGCTACAGTTTGATCTAAGGAGCCATACTATCAAGCTAAAAATTCAAACAGGCCCATTACCTCTGTGGCCTAATACCAGGGAGGCACGTAA